TTACACTATACTCCAACCAATTAGCATATTGATCAAACCAAGTCGGACAAAAACGTCTTCCTTTACTCCCGACATATTTTTTTGGAAATGCATGACCCTGTGGTTGACAAGGTCCTCTAAGCAAATATTTTCTCCTTATTTCATCCCTTTGATTAGGATGATATTCCGAAATCTTTTTCCTATCAGCCGGATCCCAAGGAAGATCGTTCAAATCAATTTCGCAAGGCATCGAAGGAGCAGAGCTCGATTCAGGTATTGATGCTTTTCTTTTAAAAAATCTTTCCATTTGATTTGCCTAATTGCCTACCAAATTACCTATAAAATTAACCAACAAAATTAACCTAAAATTACATAACCTAAAGCATTAAGCATTTACCAATTACCACAAAATTAACCAACAAAAATACAAAATTAACCTAAAAATAAAATACCTAAACTAAAACATTTACCAATTACCACAAAATTAACCAACAACACAAAATTAACCTAAAATATCTAACCTAAAGCATTTATCAATTACCATAAAATTAACCTAAAATTAACCTAAATTACTAATTTAAAGTGGCTGGCAGTGGGTAGTGGGCTAGTGGCAGAAACAGTCAAAGTGTCAAACACAAATCATTTTACAAATTAGAATCTTTACTCTTTAGTCTTTACCTAACTCAGCTCAGGCGCTCAGCAAGACAGCACTTCAGCAGACAGCAGCTTCTTCTTGGCTTCTTCTTTGCACAGCGACAGCGTGACAGCGGCACAGGCAGAGAGGCGCACAGCCGCACACAGGCACAGCGCCAGCGGCACAGCGTCGGCGTCGGCAGGCAGAGGCGCAGAGCGATGAAGATTGAAGAAGGTACCTTCGTGAATCGTGGCTTCGTTAGTTCGTTTGTTTGGTTCCTGTCTCTCCTGACTTCGTTTTCTTCTTTGAAGTCTTCAAAGTTCAAACCCTTTCATTCAAGGGGCCTCTTACATCACAAGGTTGGGGGCCCAATACACTTAATTTTTAAAAAAACAAGTAATATTTTTTTTTGGGCTTTAGTATTAACTTTTTGTTGGGGGCCCAGGACCCCTACCACATAAACATGCATCCGCCCCTGCCGGGCAATATACCGCATAAGCTTTGGTCGGTTTAACATTTAGAAGCAAAATCACCTTTGTTCGGATATCAAGTCCGGACAACAATCCGCTCAAGACTTGACTGGTTTAAATAAACCGCTCACCATTTGATCGATTTAAGACTTAGAATAATCTCAACAACTTGTCCGGATACAAGTCCGAACAACACTTCACACAACCTTTGACCGGTTTACTAATATCCGGACAGTATACCGCTCAAGGCTTGTCCGGTTTAAGAACAATCCGGGCAAGTTTTGTCCGGTTTAACACTTATCCGGTCACTCTTTGTACAGACAAAACTTTAAACATAAGGTGTGGTTTCAATCCAAATATTAAACAACATTCAACTAAAAACCAGTATAAATATTATGCAAAAGTTTAGAAACCACTCACCTTAATAAGCTTTTGAAACCAAATACTTGAAATCAACTCTTTTGAAATCCAACACTTGCAATTCGGCCAACTCTTCTCTTTAAAGCACTCAATTTTCTCAAAACCAGCAAGAAGAGCAAATGAAGAGGCTAAGCCTCCTATTTATACTTCCCAAATATGGAAGGTCGGCTAAACCGCCTTCCCTCCCCCTTTTCCACCTCATGCATATCATGCACACATGCACACACATACATACCTATTCCATGTATGCATAACATGCATGCACCCATATATATATATATATATACATATCCGGTTAATACACAAATTCTCATACCGGCATGTATCAAATTATCATGCTATCACGTAATCATTTAATCAAATAATCACATATTTATCACCTTGGGTACTAACCAGGATCCGGTTATCACATACATGTCATGGAAGCAAGCAATAATATGTAAATAACTCCAATAAAATGGCATACGCATCGATAATATTTTTCATCAAATGAAACATGCTCCAAAATAATATAAAAGGTACGTATGCATACATCCCAGTGTAAATCACATGAAATCTCACCTGATTGCGTAGATCAACTAGTATTAGCGTCTGACCAACGACCTACAAGTTACACACCACATCTCATTAATGACCCAACTCAAGCCAAAAATCAACTAAAGGTTAACTACGACTTAACCCCCGAACCTATAAGCCTATCTACGCCTTAAAGTTAGAGACTTGACATTTTATACATATTATAGTTCTCCGCACCAAATTAAAGTGCCCAAACGATATTTAATTCTGATTACGACATGTTAAATGAATTATTAAATCTTACAATTAACTACGTGATTTAATAGGATAACTCCTAAAATTAAGTAATAAAAAAAAGAATAAATAATATATATATATACACACACACACATAAACACAATGACCCAACAATTGGATTTGCGAAGACCTTCCAAAACTCATTTTATTTTTCTTTTCCTTTTGATTCGCTGTATTACATTGTGTAGTTCCCAAACCTACCGTTTTTCAACGTCCAAAAACTGAAGTATTACTAACAAAAACATGCATGATCGTACATTATGTCCAACGTTGGCATGAAGCTGATAATCAACTTGAATAAGAACGTGTTTACCCTACAAAGGTCACGTTAAACCAAAAGGACGAGAGTGTTTTACTTTGAGTTAACTGCAACCGAGTCTTGATCCTGAACACCGTCCTCTTCTCGCTTTTCAACCTTCACTTTTTCCTCTCTATGAATTTGCTCCTTTATCTCCCTGATTTTTTTTTTCTTTTTGCAATCATTCATATAAATAACCAAGGTGCTTTATCATCTCCCTTTATTTCTCAACCCACATAACTTTTACCCCAAGTATCTCAATCCTCCCCCCTTCTCTCACCTTCAAACCATGGTGGTTATTCATAAGTTCTCCATGCTACAAGCTAATCCTCCAACTTTGATAAAGTTCCACTAAACCCCCCCCCCTCTAAATTTAGTTTTTTTTTCCTTACAATATTTACTCTTCTATAATATCATTTATACAAGATTTTTTTTTGTAGGTGTTATATTAATATGTGGCAACAAACATATATGGTTTAAATTATAGCTCACTGAAATTGGGTAGAAACCACATCTTTACGGACATCTAAGATGGCCCAGACATCTTATGTCCAAAGAAATGACCACTCCATCCAACTTGAGGAACACTGGAAATTGTTGTCAATTCTACAAGGACCAAGTGCATGGTACAGAGGATTGCCAAAAAAAAACTCAAAAGAGGAAACACAATACTTGAGCAAGCAGGGGTACCTAAGGTAGTACACTAACCCGCCTAATCACCCTATGAAAGGCTCAAAGACATGCATTCACCCCAACACAGTGATCAACACTATCGCCAATGGTTAGTAGACCCATTGTTTGAGGGAATACAACCTCCACCATGAGGGCTATGCTCGCCAAGTCTTCAAGGTACAAGTCCAAACAAGAAGGCTTGAGTAAAACAAATCGTTAGCTTCACCAACTCCGTGAAAATGTCTTGGTACGCATGTTTTTATAGGCCATTGTTGAGAAAAGAAGCTTTGCCAATGCAATCTACCATGAGGGCTTCCTCAAGACAGACTTTAATGAGGACTAACTCAAATTGGTGACCTCCCCATTCCATGGATTCAGTAGAGCTCTAACTAGTATCGAGATTCAGATCAAACTACCTACCATGGTTGGAACCAAGTACTTGCCAAGGCAACTTTCTTTATGTCGGACTACTTGGTGGTCCATGCTCTTGGAGCACATATGATCCGCGGGGAATCTACAAGGCATCACTTGTACCACCTGAAGAAGAAATTCCTAAAACAAAAGGGGATAGGTTGAGTGGCAACCAAGGTCTTCCAAGGTGCTACTAATCCTGAACAAGGTGGAATTAATACATTATACATTTTAGTCATTGCACCTGAATTTGTTTTTAGGCTTTAGCACTTGGTTTTGTTTCTTCATCTTTCCTTAGTTCGAGTAAAAGCCATGTTAAGGTAGTATTATGCTCCCCGGCCATGTAATCACCTAGAGGGAACTTATCTTTGTCTTAATAATGCTTGGGAGGCCTTTTTTCCTACCCTATAAATTTATAGTTATCTAGCTGCAACTAATGAAGAAATTAAGAATTGTTTATGTAACTCTTGGTTTTATTCATCAAGAGCCATTATCTTGAGGTTTTCCTTCATCCACCACCATCTTTGTATTAATGTTGTTGAGTCCCCATAATAGCCTCATACCCATACCCCTTTAGCGAGATCCCATGGTGAATTTTGGGACACCATATCAGTAAGCATCGTTTCTCCCACCATTATTATTATGATACCTTGCCGATGCTCAAGATTGGTTTCTTGAAGCTTAGTGCCATGAGCCTTGATAGCTTGCGTCCCTTTGGCGAAGCACTTTGCTCCCCAATTGAAAAAGATATGCTATTGGTAGTAATCTTTTCTGAACAAACAGGGATGAACCACAGGGCTCGAACCTTGATCAAAACAAAAATCAAGGAGAGAGACATACCTTGGAGATCGAGAGTGTGTGGATCGATTTGGGTCGTGACTGATTTGGAGATTGAACGTCTTACAAGATCGATTTGGAGGACTAGATCTAGAGGCGAGGATCGAGTGGAGAGTCTGGACGGAGCGATTAATAGGATTTAAGTGATTAAGTTATCACTTTTTTGTTCAGAGGACGGTAAGAGCTTTTTAACTCTTACTTAAAAAAAAACAAATGGTCTGAAAATAAAGACGTCTGATCGATTCAGACTTAAGAGTATTAAGTGGTTTTTTTTTCAAAAAACAAACAAGCTCTTAGACAAGAAAGATAGGTCAAGTCCGGACGTACCGGACCCAAAGACCGCACATGATTAACTCTAACTCATAGACATGGTTTAGGGACCATTTACGTATTTATTAAATAATAAAGGGTGTGTGATGTAAATTAATAACCACCTAGAAGATTCCACCAGTATAAGCTGGTACGATACGAGGGTTTTAGCACAAACGAGAAGAAAGAGGGGGAAGAGCTACAGGCTGTAACCGCAATTATCATCGATTTCGTCTTCAAGGGGAGTTTGGGCTTGTAAAAATGGCGGATGAAGAATATGAGATGGACGGAGCGTACGTTTGTGCACCCTTTGTCTCTTTTTTCATATTCAATAAAAGTTCATTCTCGACTGTGTGTTTGCGTTGGCTGTGTTTGTATGGCTTCATGTTTTCTTGTGTGTGATTCCTGGATTTACTCTAAGTTGTTCAAAAATAACTTCAGTATGCTTACAGTTATGGTGAATTTGCTGTTATTGTTTCGTTTTTTGTTGATTAGTTTGGTATCTTGTGTAATTCAACCCATTCTCAGGGTTCTAGGGTTTGAAAGTTATGAGTGATCTCTTTTGCTGCTTTTTCTATTTGTGTTATAATATCATGGATTTTCTGTAACGAGATTGTTACAAGTACCAGCTTGATATATATGCGCCATATACAAACAAACAAGTTGCGTTGAGTCACTGTTTAAGACTTGTATGAAACACAGTGCTAAACAGGAGATCAGTTTGGTACTCATACCACTCTTCATTGTACTGAGAAAATTTCAAGGGATTAAGAAAATAATGATTCCCCATTTATGATTTATATGGTTAAGGAGTTTAAGATGTCATGATGAGTAACAATGGGCAGCAGGGGTGTTCATCTAATAAGCATAAAGTGCTCACATCGCATAGACTGGTTTAGAACTTTCTTCATGTGGTTTGCGGTTTCATTTTTATCAAACCACCCTTGCTGTGCCACCGCACCCCATATATATATATAACTTAATTATATTATATATTTATAAAAAATATAATAATAAAATTTATAGAGGATTGGAACTCTTTATTTTTTCTTGGATTGGAACTCTTTTTCGTTTGTTGGATTGAGTCATGACCATAACATGCATTGAGGCATATGCGGTGCAGTTTGAGCATTTTTTCCTAACTGCAAACTGCATCGCATATGCATCAAACCGCAAAAAACCGCACCCACTCTATTGAACTGGTAACACCCCTAATGGGCACTAGTGCATATTATCGGGAAATTATAAAATTGTTTTACAATGAGATGCTCTATATCAGTCAAACAAAGGTATAACATATCTACGAATTGCTGTTTGATGAAGTGGTTTTCGTGAATGAAATCTTTGCTGGGTGGGGGACCTGGGGGTTATGTATTTTCTTGATTCTGTACTGATGTAGCATTGATTTTTAAAAAGGTGGACTCCAATTGTTTGAATATTAAAATTCATTGTCGCTCTAAGAGCATTGAACCCATCGAATGATGGTACCATGTTGCTAGTGGTCTTGAGCGTTTGCTGATTTGGTTGAGTGAAAGCAGTCTTTTTTTTTTTGTTAAATATCTTCCGACCAATATTCAGTTTGACATATCAAGTTTCCTAACTTTCTTGCAGATATGATGACGAGCCAATGGAACCTGAGCCTGAAGTAAGAAAATTTGTTTTAGTGCATTTTAATGTTTTACATCGAGAACGACATAATAAGATGAATTTGGATGAATAAATTGCAGGAAGGAGCAGAGGAAGATGTTGAAGGAGAGAATAAAGAAGATGAATTACCAGATCCTCTTCTAGCTGACAATGAAGAAAAGGAAGAACAAGAACAAGAACAAGCAGAACGACCTAGGAAAACATCAAAATATATGACCAAGTATGAAAGGGCTAGAATCTTGGGTACCCGTGCTCTGCAGATCAGGTTGCCCTTTCTTTTCACCTTGCTCTTTATTTCCTTCTTTTCTTTTTATTTTGAAATGAATATGTGCGTGTTTTCGGCTTGAATAATATTGATTTACAGACTCATATAAGCATTAATTCTTTTTGAACAGCATGAATGCTCCTGTCATGGTTGAATTGGAGGGTGAGACTGACCCACTTGAGGTGATTTTCTTAACAAGTACTCTTACAAGAAATATTGTGAAGTGGTTGTTTGTGTTGTATGGTGATCCTCTAACTTTTGTTATTTAGCTTGTTTTGCAAACTCCATGTTTTTTGATTGAGACTATTACCTAGTTTTGCAAAGAACTTATGTGTTGCTGTGATGGCTTCTTGAACTGGAAGACATTGGAGACTAGTAGGGAGTGAGATCAAAAGGAGCTAATGTTATACTGGACCATAGATAAACCAAACCAAAAGAACCCATTATATCTCCCACAAGGTAGGGTCGGATGGGGGCATGTATGAAGACGTTGCCTCTACCCTAAAGGGAAGAGAGATTCAAGACTGTAGATGATGAAGATGATAAACTAAAATCTATGTTTAGTCTGCAAGAATGCTAGAGATAGTTAATGAAGATCATCAAGTCTACTTGCATATGTGCTCATGTTCGTAGTCAAATTTCACTCCTACGAGACGAGGACCTTTATTTGTTCTTCTTTAACATCCACGAACAAGACTAAGTGTAAAAGTCGATATCTTTTTTAATTAGATGTGTCTGCTTTGGCAACAATTGTACTCGACTTCTTTTAAGATATAGTTACCCATGTGTGCAGAAGGCCTATTACTCGGATCCCACGTTTTTCTTTATCTAGCTTGTTTAGAATGAGGATATGTGGAACCTCATTAGATTACTCTCTAAAAGGAGCCCTTGAGGCGAGAGGATGTTTGAACAGATACTGAAAAGAAATAGTTCAATTCTAGCCGATGTGGGATTCCAACATGCCCCCTCCAATAGAGGCTAGATGGGCAGACATTTTTCCAGAGTGTCGAGTCCCTAGAGTGGTAGACCTTAGCTCTGATATCATGTAAGAATACGTGGAATCCTATTAAATTACTTGGTAAGATGTCCAAAAGCGTCATATAAATTTACTGTAACACCTTTAAGTTAGAAGTCCTATAAAACAATGTATTAGGAGATTTAGATAAAATCTGTATAACAGTTGATGGATTTTCATTTTGTTATTGAGATTGCCATGAAGGAGCTTCGCATGAAAAAGATACCATTCACCATTCGTAGACACCTGCCAGACGGAAGGTAATGTTTGTTGCCACAGCTAATTATTAGCTGTAGGTTTTAATTTTCATCTGTAAATTTTATATTTTGTTTCTGAAATTGTAGTAATGAAGATTGGGGAGTGGATGAGTTGATTGTGGAAGACTCTTGGAAGAGACAAGTTGGTGGCGACTAACCCCCTCCTCCTCTTGAGTGGTTAGTGTCGATATGTGTTACTAAATACTATCGATAGATATACGTTATAGTTTGTAAATGGGGAAGACTCTTGTTAGTCGTATATGTGTGTGCTAAATCCTGTCTTAACTCAAACTTAGAATTGTAACTAATACCAGTGATATGATTTCCATGCCTGTTTCTGGTATGCAAAAAGAAAAACTCGGGTCTGTCCGAGCTCCTTCAAAAGAAAAGTAGCCTGATCCTGGGCTTTTGTGTGCATCGATCTCTATTTGTGAATACTTGTGTATCATGTGCACTTGGATTAGTAGTTGTATTCAGAGATGCACAAAAAGCCCTTGTTGAATTTAATAGAAAACAAAAATAAAGGCTTTTACTGTATAGAAGCACAAATTCTGATAAAAGTAATATATGATGGATTGGATAGGAACTTTTTTGAATTTGGAGTTGGTCTTCATTTGCTCCAAAGTTTTGATGTGCTGTTTGTTTCATTATCAGTATAGGTAAGTCGTCTATACTTTTTCGAAATTGGGTTGATGAGTCAGAAAACGGCTTATTCATTAAGTCGTACCACTATCGTTGCATTCTTCCCTTCCTCCACCAACTTGCATGTGCTTCTTTTCACCATCGCAAACCATCCTTCCTTTCTCTCTTCCTACACCGATGAACCGCCAGCTTCAATAAGGCTTATAACAAGTGTTGAGGTTATTTGCCATAATCAGGGAGACGTCAAACCCTCATAAAAATAATTTAATACTTTATGTACAAAGCTAATGTTTTGTAAAAATGTTGGATTAGGCAATGGCGAAGTTGTTAAGGTTGTCGATCTTAAATCCGATAAGAGTGTAGAAACTGAGGAGACAAGAATTTTTCTTAAATCCGATAAGAGTGTAGAAACTGAGGAGACAAGAATTTTCTTAGGGTTGGTTTGATCTGCAGGATTTAGATTTCATGGAGGGATTTGGATTTGAATTCATTGGTGTGTTTGGTTTGTAGGATTTAGAATGAAATTGAATTTCATTATTTATAAATAATTGATAGAAAAAATTATAAATAAATTTAAAAATAATTGAATTCTATTTTTATTAATCGATTATTACAAAACAAATGTTTTTAAATTTTTCTAAAACCTTATTACATACAACCCTACGAAATTCTAAACACTCCTTAAGGATTTCAAATTCTTATGCTTGAAGGATTTCAATTAAATCTTAGGGGCCGTTTGGTTCGCGGAATTCGAAGGAATTTGATGGAATTGGAATGATAAATTCCTTTGACCAAATTCCATTCCTTTGTTTGGTTCATATCTTGAAATGGATGGAATCCTTCAAATTCCAATGAATTCCACAAGTTAAGGAATTCATCATTCCTTAGCATAATGGAAGGAATTGAATTCCATCAACACCCTTAACGACCATGCTACTACTGTTTGTGATGCCCCACCCCTAACCCCTTACTACCACCACCACACCACTAATATCACCACCACCCACCCTACCTCACCACTAACCACCATGCCATTATTGTTGTCATCACACCTACCCACCCCCGGTCACTCACTGCACATCCTTGCTACGACCATGCTACTACCGTTATTGTCACGCCTCTAACCTAACCCCCACCACCACACCATTATTGTCGCTATCACAGCTGCCACTCACCCTCACCCTACTCCACCCCACCACTAACCACCATGCCACTATTGTCGTTGTTATACCCATCCACTCCCAGCCACCCGACCACCATCCTACCACTGTCATCGTCATAACTGCCACCCATCCCCACTACCCCACCCCTCACCACTATTGTCACTTTCATAACCGCCACTCACTCGCAACCTACCCGACCCCAACCCCAACCCCAACCCACCACTAAATACCATGCCACTATTGTTGTCATTATACCTACGCACTCCCAGGCCCCAGCCACCCGACCACTATCTCACCACTATCATCGTTACATCTACCACCTACCCCACCCACCCCCACCCCCACCCTAACCCTACTCCAACCCACCATTAAATATCATGCCACTATTGTTGTCATTATGCCCACGCACTCTCAGACCCCAGCCACCCGACCACTATCTCACCACTATCATCGTCACATCTACCACCCCCCACCCACACCCTACTCCAACCCACCACTAACCACCATCCTACCACTATAGTCTTTACCTGCCACCCACTAACCCCATCCCCAATGCCTCGCCCCACCCTGCCTACCTCTAACAACCCCACCTATTGTGGGGCGGGGCGGGAGTGGTGGGGGCGGGCTTGGGTGGGGTTGGGGCGGGGTGATAGTTGTGACGACGATAGTAGTGACATAATGGTTGGTAGGGTGTGGGTGGGGCGATATGTGGGATGGTCCAAACAAAGACGATTGTTCCAATTCTATTGAGAGATTTCATTCCAATTCCTTCAAAGTCAAATTCTTTTGATGGATTCCAATTCCATCAAATTCCATTATGTGAACCAAACACCCCATTAGGATTTCAAATCCGGATAATCTAATAAACCAAATATGGAATTGGAATGAATTTGAAATGTAAATCCCAAATCCATTTCATTCCTTCACTTCAAATCAAACCAAACCAAACCAAACGGGAACTTATTGTTATATGATGATTATTAATTTATTAGAATGAACGTTATTGTTATGGATTAGGTTTTTTAATTAGAAATTTACAAGTTATGAAAATTATTGCTATATTTAGACTGTTTATTCGCATAACAATTAAATAATAAATCATATAAGGCTTAATTGAATACGAACCAAACAACCCCTTACTCAAATTTCACCTATTGATTCCTGTAAACTTTGCAAATGATTGTTTAAGACTTGATCCAGCTTCTTGAATCATGATATTTACACACACGTATATACATACATGCTTGCATACATATATATGTTCAGATGCGAACATGATAAAAGAAGGAAGCACGATGATAGATCTCAACCTTTTACCTAGGGTGTTTATCCTGCATAAACTGCACCGTACAACACTCTAAAGTGCGGTTTAGAATTTCGCGGTGAGATTTGCGGTTTGTATTTTTATCAAACCTCACTATGTGGTGCAGTTAGCGGTTTTGAGTTATCAAACCGCGGTTCAATCAATACCACACCTTATATTTTGTATTTTTAAATTTTATATATAACATAGATATAAGTTAGTATTTATGTAATATTTTTGGAATTTGTGTTTTGAACTTTGAGTTTGATCCAATTGGCAATATTAATAAATAAACTTAAAAGTTTTGTACTATTTTTATTTATACAATATTATGTGAATCGGATGTATTGAAATTCTTTATTTTTTTGGACTATGGTCACTTTATCGTTGATTTTATAATATATTTTTTAAACTTATAATTACTGGATTGTAGACATAAAGTGTGGTAGGGACAAACCGTATAAACCGCACCACACAAATGCGATGTGGTTTTGGTACAATTTGGGATGTATGCGATGCAGTTTACGGTTTGAAAAAATGCTCTACCGCATACGCGGTGCGGTTTGCCACCACACCGTGAACACCCTTACTTTTACCTCATCAAATATAATGATTGTGATTAACATGCTAAAATTAGGTTAACAAGGGCATAAAGATAATATGCATTTCTAGGGACTAAAAGGGTATTCGTGCAATGCAGCGAGATATATCTTGATTTTAATATTTCGTTTGATTCTTTATCTCATTCGATGTTATAATATGGTCTTATATGATTTTGAAAATCCGATAATATTTTTATTTTTTTAATAAAATATAAATTTGAAGATATAATAAGATTTTCACAAAAATATATTGATATTAGTATCGAATTAACTATTTAAAATTTCTCATTTTTTATGTAATTTTTAATTCAATTTTTTTATTACTAGAAGCGTACTCGCGCAATGCAGCGAGATACATCGTGATTTTAATATTTTATTTTATTTTTTATCTCAGTCGATGTTATAATATGGCTTTATGTGATTTTGAGAAAGCGATGATGTTTTTATTTTTGAATAAAATATATGTTTGAAG